CGTGGTATTTTGCTGGCTGGAGTTACACTACTACAACCTGGCTGATCTGTGTCAAAGGGTAAGACAACTGACTATTTACTCAAGTGCTGAAATGATCAGCAACACAGAAAGGCTCGACTCCAGCTATGGGACTGCCATTGGAAATCTGGACTAAGTATGAAATAAAAGGTTTTTGATTTCATTAAGTTCTCCTGAGCAGGTATGTCAAAAATTTGCAGAGATATCCAAGGTAGCACACCCCAGAAAGCCTGTACTTCCACAACCATGGGCTTAGAGTTTTCAGAACTAACATTTCCTGGGGAAAAAGGCTGACTATCCCCTTTTCACCATGTATCTTATTGGGGATGCGCCTCCAGCACAGGTGCCCAGCTCAACGCATCAATTTTCTAGAGGAAAAATCCTTTGTTCTATTTAGTTTCTTGAAACAGAATGATGCTCAAGGCTGCTCAAGATTGTACTTGCATGCTAATGGTCTTGGCCAATAAATATTCTGTGGTATCTTGTTGATGGATAGTCTTTTAAGAACTGAACCCAAGACAAATACTTCCTCTGAGAAGGTACAATCAATAGACATGACAGAAGGAAATCAAGAAGTGACTTCACGAGAAATACATTTTAAAAAACCTCAAAGAGAAGTCAATGAGACTGAACAGACACTATTAAAGAATGGATAATACTGGCAGTGCTGTAGCTGAAAAGCAAGAATTAGTTATGCTCTCCTTCAATCTCAAAATGTGGGTGAGAGGAAAGAAAGGCCTACAGTTCACACTTAGGCTTGACTGTGCCCTGGAGGTAGCAAAAACACATCCTGAGTGTTTAGATACACATCTATTCACAACATCAGTCTATAAAGAAGTATACAGAGGGGAAAGAAGAACTAGCAATGAATACAAAGAAATTACTTAAAACAGCAAGTTAGGTTTTTCCAGAGTATCATCATGGAGGAATAAGACCAATGTGTTCTAACAGAAATCCAAAATTCAATGATTAATGAAGTATAAATCTACTCATGTTATTTTATCTCATTAAAAATATTCTTACCTGAGCACTCCTACTTCATTTTTGAAAGCCTGTAACTGTTGAGGCGTGGGTGCCGTAACATTCAACATTTTCACTGCCACATCACCTTTAAAATAGCAATTTTTAATAAACGCCATTGATAAAGATTCCTCTACTGAGAAAATGCTATATTGAGCATCAGTAGTATTAAGATAGCCTGTTTGCTAGCTTTGGCAAAATAAACCACTATATTATTAAAATAAGTAAATAATACGTAAAATGTATAAACACTGTTCTTACTTTACTCTGAGAAGACCTAGCCAAGTCAAAGCTTTCCAAATACACATTTGAAATCCTCATTCATTAAGATATATACTTCAGCCTTTCTAGTAACTATGTTTTGACTTTATCCTCATAATTACTTAATCCAGAAGAGTTCAGTTTCTAAATGGTTTGAAGTTCTAACATTACCTATCTAGCACACTACTTACTAATTTAAAAATCATCTTCATGGCCCTTCACTGTACTCTCCCTGGTACATCTATGTCTTTGTTGTACTGAGGAGCCCAGAACTGGACACAGCTCTCCAGGTGAGGCCTCACCAGTGCTGAGGGGAAGCGTTGCCTCCCTCCACCTGCTGGCAATACCTTACCTAACGCAGCGCTGGATACCATGAGCCTTCTTTGTGGCATGGCCACACTGCTGGCTCCCGTTCAACTTGGTGCCCACCAGAATCCCCAGGGCCTTTGCTGTGAAGCTGCTTTCCAGCTGGGTGGCCCCTAGCAGGCAACGTTACTTGCTTGTGACTAACTTCACCATGACAGCCACATACCATGCCACTTTCCTTTGTAGACTGTTCCAAATGATCCAGATCCTATCCTTTGTCCAACTGTGATCTGGCCATCTGGTATCTCCCAATCATCACTTGAATCCCGTCGACCAAGGGTTTTCTTTATATATGCATAAACAATAAAAAGAAAGGAAGCAAGTGCATTAGTGTCTGTGAAAACAGCTCCTTTGTTGAAGATGTGGTATTCTCATTTCAGATCTTTAAAGTCCTAAAAGAACTTTCTTTTTCAGATATTGCATCTGACTTTTCAAGCCAGGCATACATAAAACCTCAGCACACAGAGGTAAATTAAATTATTTCCTGGCATGAAATATGTGCCACAGGTTTCTGGAAGTGTTAAACCCAGTAAATATTAAGAAACTCTTACCAAAAAGAAAGTCTCATTTATTTTCAATTCTTACTCAATCATAATGCTAAACTGTGATTAAAAAAAAAAAAAAAGCAGTCATTTTTATGTATTGTTACATTTGAGAATCACTAGAGAACATCTGAAGTTCATGAATCAAAGGGTGAAAAGTTAAGCTGTTATTTGAAGGGAAACTGGCATTACAGTATGAAGCACACCAAGATGTTTGGGTGCAATGGAGTAAAAGTGAGGATAGTCAGTTATTTAAACGATTTATGTATCAGTCCACCAATTTCAATATTTCCGTTATTTATTGGTTTAAAGTCCTTGATCATTACCATACTCATCTTCAAAATAATTCAGAAGGCTTTGATGAAAGAAAAATGAGAGAAGCATGGCTGTGTGGTATTTCCGTACCATGAACATACCACACTAGGAATGAAAACAGTTGATCTGTCCCTTACCATTCTATTTCTGTCTTCTGAGGATGAGGATGATTTCCTTTCCCGCTGGGGTCCTGGTGATTTCTGTAACGCTTTCACATTGGTGAGTGACCCAGGCAAAGAGGCGGGAGGTGTTGCAGACAAACCTGCAGTTGAACCTAGATTTCAGAAACAGGGTAATTTTATCTATAAGAAGCCAGCTTACAAGAATGTATTGATACTAGCTGCAAGAACTGTGTTTAAGATGCAGTACCTCCAAACAACAATGTAAATATTAAGAGGGAACAAACATATACTAGGAATATTGTCCTAATATTAGATTAGTACTCAAGTCTTAGATTTTAGGAAGAATCAGGTCTATGGCTGACATCTCTGTATACTAGATTGTCCCCAGTCTCTTGCTCATGAATTATTGGAAGGACAGTATCTCTTTAAACAGAAAAAAGAATTTAAAAACATATTTTTTAATTCCACCAATTTCTTTGAGAAAAAAAAAAGTAGCAGCAGCTGCCTCTCAGATTTCTAGTATCTAAACTTTTAGGGACCCAATAAATAGCTGAAATACTGTAGTTCAGAATCAAAGCAGACTAAACTCAAAAAATGTAAATGTTTCTCATTGAGTCTCAAGTGCCACCTGAAAACCATTTGGCTGTTTTAAAGCTATCTGTTAGCAGAGAGCTCTTATTTAAAGTAAACATTAGACTATAGAAAGGATTAAGAAAGAACAAGTACTTTAGTTATCTATTTGAAGCATATTCTATGGAATATAAAAAGAACAGTCCAGCTGCAGCCTATACGTTCTCTAAACAAATCTGTGCAGGAAAATATCACTGAGAGCTGTGTTTCAGAGCCCCAGTGACTCTTTACAAATAGAGCACCTCAGCTAGACACTGCTTTTTAAAATACACCATAATTATTCATAACAAGGTTATGCTGACCCTCCCAATGAAAAGGACATAAAATAGGGTCAACTGTTAATTAAATTCATGCTGCTCTGCTAAACAATGTATGTCACTGCACAAGACCTCCAACATTCCAGTGCTTTCTCTCACATCAGTGCTCTGGGAAGTGGTAGAAGACAATTTTCCTCCTCCTATTCCTTCAGAAGGACCCTTCTTACCAAAAAGTGTCTCCTAATGCCAACTTAAGTTCAAAAGCTGACTTTGTTGACTTTTACATCTGTTGCTCGAGTTCAGTCACTCAGTGTGTGCTAATTTATCAGACTGTATATATCCATCGCTGCCTGTCCTCACTGAGCAAAAAATCCATGCATTTAGAAATGGAAGCACAAAATAATGACATACCAACACATCAAAAATAGGATGCAGCCTCCATAAACTGCATCCCACATGTTAAAGCAACAATAATGAGGCACATTGGGTATCCTAACTACATTTACAAGCAGCTGGAAGCCAGTGACCTGAAGGATGGACTTGTGTTCCTATTCATGTTACAGTCACTATATTGTCCTATTTATTTTATTATTTGTCCGAAATCACACAAATATAGAATTAAATGTATGATCTTCCCAGAACATGAGCAATTTTCTAAGTTTACTGAGTTACAGCCTTTCTCTGTAATAGCAAGGCTCTACTACCATGTATTTTTTTTAGAGGCAACTAAAGCCTCCTACTCAAATTTTAATACCGCTCTACAGAAACACCAGCACAATATTCACTCTTCACCAAAACCACTTACAGCACATGGTAGAACATTTTAGTTAACCTGTTCATAATAACACCAAACGGCCTGTTTTCCAAGTTATTAAGAGTAGAATACTTCAGATAATGTTGGACTCAAGCCATTAGCTTGGACTCTGAAGCTGTACGTAACATGTTCCATTCTGTAGGCAGTTTGCTTGTTGGGAACACCTGTCTTACAAAGATTTCTGGAAGAACCTTACAAGTTCATAAGGTGAACTGCTCCTGAAATATTCTGAAACAAAAGTCTTTGAAACAGCCAAGGTGGTAGCATTTGAAAACCACGCTACATGCACTAACTACCTGCTTCTACATGTATAGACACAAATATTGACATTTCATGCTATTACTCAATAGTTGGTTTCTCCAGCTTATAAAATCTCAGAGAGTATTTGGGGATTTTGTGCAATACAACAGATCCATTGACAGCTTTAGGCCTGAATTACCCCCAGAGTCAGTGACATGAAAATTTTACATGGCACAGGACACAAACAAATACTGGTTCCTTGGAAATTTACTAACTAAATAAAAACTACATGGTCTAAACCATCCAGGGCCCCATTGCGTTATCAACAGCACACTGTCAATACAAAGTAATTGTTGAAAGCTGACATAACGCATTACTTGAAAAGCTTGAGACCTAACAAGATATCAATGGAAATGTTTGTAATTCACATTTCATTTCCTAGATTACTTTTGAAAACAAAGACTCTATTTAATACAGAAAACTGTTAAAAGCACTGAGCTGACTTAAACTGAACAGTCAAGGAAATTCTAAGTTAAGGACATCACTGTCTTTAAAATCACTGCAATGCAATCCAAGAACCTTTGATAAGAAAAACTATGTTAAGGTCCACATAAAAACCTCAACTCTGAAATTCCTTGCTTTTGAAGATTTAAGTCAGGCTTTATTTATAGTCATTTTAAAGCGTGTAAAGGTGAAAGTGAGTATGTGTGAAAAGCACATTCAAAGCATTCCAGCCAGGCCAAGCAAAAAACAGAGGTGTTTCGATAAACTCACACACTTACATACACACGGTGTGAGGGTGAGGCACAAACAGCATCTGTGGTTTTACTTATTTTGTTTGGGTGAAAACAAGAAAGAAGAGCCCAACTACCTCTGAACACTGGGCCAGGCTCAAAATCAAACACTATTTCACTGGGGACAGAATGAAGGAGGGGACTGGGAGTCCGGGATTGGTATTTCCGAAGACAGCGCATCAGCTGGTTCAAAGGGGCTGTTAGAGAGAAAGAGACGGGCAGGCAGAGACAGAAAGACAGACACACAGAAGAAATGAAAGAAGTCATGGGAAATAACTAGGATGCTTTGACTCCTATTCATAGATTGCTTCTGTACTTTGAAGGAAAAAAAAGTCAATTACTAATAACACTGTTTCAGGACTGGGACTAGCCAATTGTTTTCAGATGCCAAGCAGACAACTTTATGATCAAAAGTTAAAACCAACATGATAGCACAACATTTAAATGCCGGACAGAATGGGCAAACTGTGGAGAGCCACACCTATCAACACATACAAAACCAGCTAAAACTGCCAACTTTAAATTAGTAGGTTTGCAGGATTAAAGCAGATTTCTTTTTAAAAACCATTCTATTGCTGGCATAAGAAAAAAGAGCTCCATCAAACACAACGCAGTAGGTAGGGTACCACACCACCAACTACCAGATTTGGATGGGAGAAACAAAAAGTCAGTGATATCCCACAGTACAAAACCTTAGGAGATCGGGAGTGCACCAAGGTAATTCAGACTTTACTTATGGATGAAGCAAATTATAATTCGTAGGAAACAACTGTGTTAATGATTTGGAGTTGGAAAAACTGTCATATGCCTGTCCTACTTACTACTTCTTTATTTCTATATAACTCTATATTATTACTATAGTCATAGCAATAAATACAGCACATCAGGAGCCCTCTCACGCCCTTGACAGCCAGAGGGAGAAGTGACTTAGTCCTGTGCATAACGTGAAGAAAAATAAATCTTCTGGCACTCATTCTGACTTAAGTGTGAATCAGGGCTGTGTGTTACTGAAGGCAACATAAAAAGACTTGACTTTAGCATAAGGTCCTAACAACCTGGTTCCAAGAGTAGCACAGGCATGCAGTACAGCAAAGCGGCATCTTCAGCAGGGGCAGAGGGGGAGAAGAACCGGAGTATTTCATGCTGCTTCAGGATGCAGCAGTTTGTATGGAAGGTCCATCTACCATGTTGGTGGTTTTCAATGAAAACCCCTGTTGTTTCCATGGGTGGAAAGGTAACAACAGGCATAAAAATCTTTGAGACAGAGCTGGGAAGTTGTGGCATGTCTGTGTGCAGCCATGTGAGTGAATGTGTGCATGTGAGAGCAAAAAAATGATGGTGCAAGTTAATTTTAAAACTAAAAAACTAGGTATCACTTCAAAACTTTTCCTCCTTCCGTCTCCCCCACTCCCAGAATGACTGGCAAATGACTCAAACCTTTGTCAGACAAATACTAAGTTCATGGACAAGCAAATGCAAATTTATTTTTTGTTCTAGTCATGTTTTCCTTTGTGCTTGTGTTCTGTAGAAGGAAGTAGAACAAAAGGAAGGGACAGAGCAGTTGCATAATTAAATGTAGCACAGTAGCTAGTTTAAACACTACTTACCTCCCTCTCCTCGTAAACCCTGGTCTCTAATCAAGTCCTACAAATAAAGAAAAATTGTGTTTAATTTAGGTATTACCACTTGCATTCCAAACCAATTGAGATTGATCAAATTGAGAATCCATAACCTCACAGATTCTCCATGAAATGAAAGCTGCTTCCCACCCTGGCTGACTAACACCAGCGAGCATTACTAAACTTTGCAAAATTATTTGCTTTAAAAGAGCATCTCCCAGTAGTGCAGTGAAATGTACACCACCCAGAATAGATGCTGACATGAAAATATTGATTTAAACATGCAGTTGGCCAAAACGCACGAAGAAATATCGAACTAGTTACAGTGGTTGTGGCACAAATTATTTGAGCTGTCATATCAGAAGCTGGGACACCAATTTCCTGTACAAAGGTACATCAGTCAAATGAGTCCTGCTTTGTTTTTTCCTTGTAACAAAGCACCTCATTTGCATAGCCAGGCTCACTCGGTGCTTCTCAGAAATGACTACCAGGAACAAGTTTCCTTCACCTGCAATCCACCGCGAACTGAGAGCATCTTTTACAATATATGCACACTACCAGCAAACTGCACTAAGGATTTTCTCAACAGAAGAAAACCAGAGAATTCTGGAGGTTTCCTTCTGCAGATCCATTTTCATCATCAGGATTTTGTTGGGGGTCTTTTTGTGTTGTGGTGTTTTTTTTTTTTTTTTGTTTGGGGTTTTTTTTTGTTTTTGTTTTTTTTTTTTTAAACACAGCTTATTCCTTTATACACCTGTCCTGCTGTCGAAAGCACTGGTCCTGCCCCCTGCCCCGCTGCAACACGGCAATGTATCATATGCAAATGTCTACGTGGCCACACTCCTAATGCTCAACTAACATTTCACTTTTCACTCCATTCACATGCAAAACACATTTTGTGCCTCAGTGTCCAGGTGGACTTCAAGACCGCTCACCTGACCAATGACTGATTTCTAGAGAGTAGACTTAAGGGTAAAATACAAGCTGTGCACGTTAGCAAAATCAGTTGTGACTGACATGTTCTAGGTCAAAGGTCCTAGCTGGCCTTATACCTCCACCATTATTATTATTTGCAATTCAGCATCCAGAAATTTCAAAAATGTGGAAAACAATGTAAGTGTAGCAGCTTCTGAGCACTCCAACAGAAAGCTCACAATGATATATACCGCGCTCCTGAAATCCTAAGTAACACTCCGGTACATCTGAACTCGGCTAACTGCAATAATTTAATTTTCTTCAATGTCAGGAACATTACTTGAATGACAAGTACTGAAAAAAACCCCCACCCTATATTGCACATAAAGCAACATGCTTAACATGTAGAATGGTTTGCAAGAGTGGTTACTGACTCTCGTATCTTAACGCTGTGGTACAGCTAGAAGCACAAGCCTTGGGACTAACGAGACCAAAAAACAAAGAGCATTGGTTTGTGGTAGAATGCTTTTTTGAAAATGAAAGGACACGACTGTGAAAAGGCAGTTTCTGCTTTTGGAGAATGGGTTATTTGCAGTCTTACAGCTCTCAACAGCAAAAACGTCTTACACAGGATCTATGAGGATCCTGACAGACCACCAAGGATTAGCTTAGAAACACAGCACACGTGTGCACACGTGAGAAGTTGAACGCACTGATATTCATAAGGGAAATGTCAAATCTACTGTTCCCAATCCAAACAATATTAATACTTACATCAATATTGACTGGCTCTATCGTATTGATGTGAACATTGGGAGCTGAAGAGGATCGGTCGCGTTGCCCAAATTGATTCCGATGGTCTTCATCTGCTGGTCGGAAGGGCTGTGGGATTGGAATGGATTTTGAAGGAGAAGGACTAGGGAGAATTGGTGGTCTGAGAAACAAAGTCAAGGAAAAAGAGGATTTAGGTCTACAAATGGCTTCAAATTCTGCATAGTGGGTGTGGTAAGTCCTTTTCAACTATAATAATACATACATTAAAAAAACTGGTCTAAAGGCCTGCATAAAAACAATTGATAATGAACGGTCTCTACTCCCTTGTGATCAACTGCAACAACTCTCTGCTGCACAAACTGCCTAATTACAAGGCTGTTAAGTGTTCTGAGTTAAAACAAAACAAAAAACCTAACACACTCTACCAAACTCGTAATAGTATTAAATCCTGATCTGAAAAGTTCCTGTAGGCCAACACGTAGTGCAGAGAGTGAGATACTCTGAAGTTTCCTCACTTCAGAGGTCACTGAAAACGTGTAACATCTCACATCCACATTACAGTCAAAAGATGTCACAAAACAAACTGTATGGATGGGATTATTGTTGAATGAAGAAAGACTGAAAATCACATACTGGTCACTCAACATATTTGATTAATATTATGACCAATGTAATATGAATTATCGATATTAAAAATAAACATAGCTTTTCACCTCAACCTTTAAGAAATAACTTTGAATAGTGTGACAGTTCAAATGTTATTTACAGTGCTACAGGCGGGCAATGCAGTACATTTGACTTTGACAGACAAGTGTTCAGACTAGACAGACAAGTTTTCTGAAGAAATGCAATTGCTGCTGGTCATAATGTAAATAGTGTCTTTAATTCATGGTATCATGAATTAAATTTAAAAGGCATCCAAACACTTGGTTTTTTCACGTGTAAGAAGGCAGAACGTCACTACTTTAGTTATCCTTCATTCGGTTAAAGTACAACAAATTGCTGTTTATCTCTTACTCAAGTCAAGGTCAGTCCGAGTTAAGTCTAATGATTCCATTTAATGGACACAAGGCAAAAGTACAATGAGAAATGCTCGTCACCTTCTTCAAAGAGAACTTTATGTTAAAATATATACTTGATCTCTGGCAGCAAGGTTTTACGGAAAACACAACTCCCAGCAGAGGAGTAGAGCCCTCCAGCCATTCAATTACTCATGGGTTAGTTACCATGCTCACAAAGACAGCGCCCCTACCCTGGCAGAAGCTTCAGAAATAAACCATACAGCAGCATATAGCAGCAATAGGTCCTGGTGTTGCCTCCTGGCCTCTCTAGAGGTCTTTAGGAGCAACAAACATGAACTTCAACAGGATCTCTTGACATTTTTTGAGAAACGGGTCTGCTCTACCTACCACTGAAGAGTTTGGCACTGATCCCAGAACTCAGTGCTATCTGTATCCTAAGTGCCTGTCATCTTTTCCTTCCTGGTCAACAGTCTCACAATTGAGAATGGGGAAACAGAGCACTTGTGAATTAAATTAAATAGCAGTCTTGTAATTAAATACTTTGCTTATGTTTGGGAAGTGAGGGCAGAGGAAGAAAAGGAAGGGAGTTTAACTCTGCTTAACTTTTTAAAAAAACAATTACCTATTGTCACATGACAGAATATATTGGGAAGATATTCAGAAGCAAGGAACTGACACTACCAACAGGCAAATCTCTGAGAAAGGTCCTTCAACAGCCCAGCATTTCAGAAGATGCTCAGAATTTCAGAGATATTTTTTAAATGCAGTTGATGTATGTAAGATGAAATTTTCCTCCATTGCTAGCCAATGCCTCTGGATAAAAATCTTTTCTACTGCAGTTCAGAAAGATTTGAACTCCTGAACATTTTTGTAAGGAAATCATGCAACTAGAACCTCCCATCAGGAGATGAGACACTTCACAGATACAAATGCAGGACTTGGCTGACATTCTAAAGCACTGCATTCTCATGTTAAGGCAAGTGTGTCAGATGCTGCACAGGAAGATTTTAGAGGAAAAGCCCAAAAAGTGTCTCAGCCAGGCCAGTACTATCATTGTTGCGATAGCCAACTCCTGCTCAAACTTCCTCAGAGTTCTCAATCATTATGAAATCAAGGGAAATCAATGTGTAACAACAAACATCAGATCACGGCACCGATGGTGAGCCAGCATGTGAGCTCGCTACAGGACGAGAACAGGGGCAATGAGATTTTCTGTGATCATGAGTAAGCCAAGGGACAGAAAACCAAACTGCAGAAATACTGTTTCAATGACATCCTCCTCTGAGTCATAAATGGTCATCTGCTAAGGGAACCTGCAAATACTTCCGTATTTGTGGTGAGGGGTCATCATGCGCATCATGCTGGTAGCACAGACAGCACGCTGTGTCACACCTTGTTTGAAAACAATTTGAATAGCTTTTTCTACTTATTAAATTCCAACTGGAAGATGCTCAGATCTTTAGAAAACAATTGCACATTAATAAAGAATTCTGTTGTTCGGAATCTCTAAAGTATCATTGGGAAGATCTCTGGGTTTTAGACACCAAAGAATCCAAGATGTGAATCTCATAAGCAGTTACCCATGTGCTCCATCTATACAATCAGGATTTCATTAATGGGCGTCTTTGGCACACTTAGAAAAAGCTAGGTTATTTCTGCTAAACGGCAATTTTGCTTGAAAAAGGTAACTAGTGAGGAAAGACACAAGTGGTTTGCTAGCTGAGGTGGCCGGCTGAGATCACAAGCTCCGAGATTACCACCAGCCTCTGCCTGTGTGCGGCAAAGGCCGTACCTTGATTTGCATCACAATTTTGATCTACAGAAAACACGTCACCACAAAGAATGCAGCAATCCTCTTGGATACCAAAAGCATGTTCTTATACTATTCCTAAATTTTAATTACTCCAGGAGGGTAGGAGGGCCACTGGAGGAAAAAGGACCAGCCATCATCACTTGGAAGAGGGTGACATTGTTTATTCTAGGTGAGTTTCAAAACTAGTTCTGTAGGCTATGCAAACATAGTGCCAGGAAACGTATTTCCAAAAAAAGGAAAAAACCCAAACAGAAAAGGACCAGAGCACAGCTGCTGCTGTGAAGCACTTTACTATGGCATATGTGTATAGCAGGCTGGGGCTTAAAGAAGCAGCAAACAACAGGATCCATGTTTCTGTTGCTGCTGTAGCCTTTGTGAGCAGTTAACAGCTAACATCCTAGCTAGAGGTGACCTTCTACATAGAGTAAGGTCAATATTCTGACTTACTATAGTGGTTATACCACCTCATCTTGCACACTTTCTTCCAGCCTCTTAGATGTAGGCATTGCTTTAACAAACTCTTGTCAGCTTCCCAGGCAACAAGCCGATAGAGTTGTCAAATCTCCATTTAATGTGTTATAACCTTTCCTGGCAGTGTGACAGAACATGCTTCTTCCTTGGACCATGTATTTAGGATAAGCATGTTGTTCCTCCCTTTTTATCAAGACAAAACAGAAAGAGGCTTTGCCAAGAGACAAGAGTAATTGCAGACAGATGTAGATTTTTGCCCTTTGCCAATCACATCAAGTGCCAATGTGTCCATAGATTTCCTATGCAACAAAATTGGGTCCACAGGAAAGAGGAAGGTAAGTCAGAAAAGTGCCCACACGTTATTTATATATAAACAAACAAATTTATAAAATCATATACAGTACCTCCACCAGATCTTAGAACTTGCAACGACACAAGTTAGTTCACTTTACAAATACACAAGGAAGCTGTAATACAGATTTTCCTCAATCTCCTTCAACTCACCAAAGTGATGGTTCATACACTTAAGAGCTGGTCTACTCAGGAAAGATTTTTCTTAAGAGGTTTGTTTGGATTTTTATTTTGCTGGAGGTTTGGCAAATAGTTCAACTGAAAACTCACATTCACCTCGCTTCAGTTCTAGGGTGTGTGCCACTCCCCTTTTAGCCTCCATCTACTGGACCGAGATTTCTCTTCTCCCCCTCTCAGTCTGAACAAGTGCATCTCAGTTTAGTCACTGGGCCCAGGGTAGTACATGCTATTCACTGGGTCGACTGCATACTTCAATCCAAGCCAAACGTACTGCAAGCTAATACCTATACCAAGGCACCTTTTTTTCCCCCCAATTTGCATCCAGAGTACGATCGTCTTCGTTTTTTGTTACGGCTGTTAATGAAGAACACAGTGCACTTCCATTTTCAAGATGTTTCTAAGGACTGCTAAGGATCTGGGATGCAATGTTATTTCAACTACGCTAGCAAGCAGGTATACTGTAAATTTTGGAGGCTAAACGTTCTGATGTAATTATTGTGGTACTCCATAGATATTGCCAGAGAGTAATTTTTTTTCTTTCCCCACCTCTGCAGCCTGGAAACAGTCAGTAACCCCAAATCAACATTTGATGTGGGGAAGAGCATAGCAGTACAAGTCTGTAACTACAAGGTAGAGAAGATCACCCCTACAGCATCCCATGAAGTCAGTCTAAAAGCACCAGGGGACAGATCTGTAACAGTCAGCTTCCTATGGACTGGTGCATTTTCCTGTACCATGATACCTTGTTTTCATTCATGTTGGCTTGTAGGTGCAGAACAACTGCCAGGATTATCACAATGGTGTGCATTCATACTGGCCTCTGGGCCCAGATCGAAGCTAAGCAGTGCTTTCCTAAATTTTCTGTTAGCTTCATATACCAGGGGCTATCAAGAGAACCCACACAGCGGTCAGTAGTCCTCCAAACCAGGTTTCTGTTCACTAGCATGTTTTTGCAAATAGAGTTTTAGGGAGCAAGAGGTTTCCCCCCACCCCAGGTCTTGTACAGACTGAAGATGATTTTTTCTAAAGCTTCTGACACCAGGCCTTTTCTACTCAGCAAGAACACATATCAAGTTGGATCTTGTAGGAAGCTTGCTAACGTTTGCACAGAGTGGTCTGGAAAAGGTCTGGTGCCAGAACTTTTAGGGGAAAGTTTATCACTGTTTTATGCAATAAACCACAAAACTTTTGCTCACTTACACAGGGATCTAAATGGTGTTGCAGTACTAAATACAGTAATGTAAGACTGTCTTTGTTTCCTTGGCTTCTCAGAAGCTTTTCTACACATTTAAATACCTTCAGCTGAGGCAGACAATCAGGGAATGTTAGGAAGACAGAAAGGGAAGCAGAGGTGTTCAATCACAGGCTGGAGCCTGTGCCAAGGCAGGGACTGGCAAGCTTCCATGAATGGTGCAAGAGAGAGTTCCCCTTCCTTCCTCAAATTCAGAAGATTAAGCATGTTGGGAAATGTTGTTTTTCAACGAGCCAAGATGTTGCCAACCTGCTTACTCACAGTGTTCTGCCTCAAGCGAAGCAGTTTCTATTGAGCCCAACCTGTCCCTGTGCTATTCAAAGTCTGACCATGCAACGCCACCCACTCCGCAGGTTACTTACCCTGCCATAACATCTGTCTCATGAGTTTGCTGAGTTGTGCCCATCTCAACATGTGAGAGAATAGATGAAAGTTGAAAAAGACAATTCTGGAATATTTTGAATAGCTAATCTCTCCCCTTTTCATGTATCTGTAAGATCCAGGCAACTGGGTTCACAGAAATCCTGTGCACACATTTTATGAGCAAAGTTACAGGAGAAACTTGATGATAGTGCAATGAATGAAATGAATACAATGTATTATATACAGTTGGTGTACTTGATTTTATTACATATGGCTACTATAGGGAGACCTACACTTTAATACTTCTTTCCAGTTAAGTGCAGATTATAACTGACTGCTTTGGCACAACAGGACAGTGCAAGCTCAAAGAACTAAAATGGGACCAAAGACCTAATGTGGAGGCTGGACATGTTTTTATAAGGGGTTTGGAAATGTGCAAGTGAGACCCTATGTGTTCCCTAATCCTGGGGAGTAAGGTCTGGAGGGACTGCCTATGGCTTACAGTTGGAAGCATGACAGACTACAGGACCGGATTGCTTTAGGATGTTACATGTGAGCAAAGTGCAACAAAGTCCTCCGGCATGTTTAGCAGCTTTTGCATCATGTCCAACGGTCTTTTCCTTTATGCCCCTTTCTCTTTCCAACTTCTCCATTTGATCCCTTGACAATTTCTCAGCACGTCTCACACGCCTTTGCTCTTGAGCTTGTCTTGCAACACAAACTCCTCCTTTCTTTGGGCACTTTGCCTGCTGCTGGAATCCCTTCACAAGGCTCAAGATGAAGGATGTTTGCCTTCTCTTTCCTCAGGTTTACAAACGATTAGTGGCATCCCTCCCTCTGTGGGCTGTGCCATGCAAGACGCTAGGAGAACAGAGAAATCAAAGGAACAATCATTAAATGAGTGTTGATAAAGTGCTAGTTCCTTATATTTTCAATCCCACTGCCCAACTCTCAAATTTCAATCCCTTACTCTCTTCCCAGACAAGATAACCTCAAATGTCAGACTTGGGTTTTTATTCCAATTGAGCTGTTATCCCGTATCGTAGCAGTACCCTTTAACAAAACCATGGGTATGCTGCTATAGAAAAGGCCAGCATTTTTCTATTAACTCTAAAAAAAACTCAGAAAAATTAACATTTCCACAATTACGGCTTTAAAATGCAGAGAAGTATTATTAAAGAAAAGGAAAAGGGTAACAGGAGAAAGATATGGCCTGTGCTATATGCTCATATAATAGCATCTGACCTGCTTCTGGAAAGGAAATACTACACACACAGATGCTTGGGGAAAACTGCATGACTTTGTAACATGCATACTACTAACACACACCAGCTTACGATCAAACCATTTTCAAAATGAACAGAATTTTGAAGGCATGATGTATGCCTTTTTTGTTTAATAATGAAGTGTACAGCAAGGCAAAAAAGCAAAATGTAGAAAGCTAGAAACGTTTTACAGCTCCTGCAACCACAAACACTTACAGATGCAACACTTCAGAAAAGCTCCTTAACCTCAATTGGCAAATACATTTCACTGTTAACATTTTTATATATGTGAAGTTAAAAACCTTAAAGCATTAACTGCCTTTGGTCTCAGTTTTTCCTTTCGGTTTTTACTTCACAAAACTAAGACTGGCTGAAGTAGTGCATGTATCAATTAAGATAATCCATCCTCTTGTATCCTCATAAACTGGTAAAAAAGCAAACACGTGAGTCAGAGGCAATTGAAAAGTAGGAAAATTTAGCATATACCAGTACTAGGATCAGGGCTATACAGTGCCTTTGGCATCTGCAGGCATTTAACACAGTTCTTATGAACAAGCTTCTTCACAGATTAATAGTTTGAGCCCGGTTATACTTTCAGCTGTACCATGAGAAAGGCAGAGCCTGAAGAACTGCAACAGCAGCCCTGTCCACAACCTGCTGTACTAACATCCATGGGATATAAAGGCAACATCCACTACCTGGAAGAAACACTTCCAAATTTACTTAAAACTGCACAAAATAGTACAAATAAGAACATCATCTCTCTTTGTACTTACCATATGAGGCTCCCGCTGCAGGACTGTCAATCTACTTTCCTAGGAGACATCGTATTCCATCTTTCATAAAACAGTCTTGGCTGTCCAGGGAATTTCTCTTCTAGTCGGAGTCCCTAGGTGCCTGCATAGCTTCCAGCCGTGTTTCTGCTTTAGCTTGGATGCAATGGTCACTATTCCAAGATAGCCTTTGCCAAATGCAGTTCATCTCCACGCAGTACACGTCCTAGGAATGCTTTCCTGAAGGCTTTTGTATTTGGTGTTCTTAAGTCTACATCAGGTTTCGCGACTTTTGATACACATCCTTGAGTTCCTCTGTCCTGGAGATTTGTTCAACTATCTAGTGCTGGGTGATGTGAGTGATCTCCTAGCTACTGTGAACATCACCTAAATATGATCACAGGCATCTCTTCACAGAGAGAGGGTCCAGAATCTTGGTTGAAAATACAGGGGATGGAGGCAGTGGTCAGTTTTAGAAGTCTAACTTTACAAAACCTGGATCTGCAGCAAATACATGCTATTGGTATACCCCAAAAACAGGAGGGAGACAGCTGGTCTGGAGGATACTAAAGCAACATGTATGAGGAAAAGCTGCTAAAGCAGTACTATGAACCTGGAATCGTCATCTGTTCACACTGATCTTACAGTGGTGTGGCTTATTCTGAAACAGAGGCATGCCACTTCAAGGCAAATAAATTGTAGTTTGATAATACAAACTAAAAGGATTTGTGAGGATATAGTTTTGAGTGGTATTCGTTTTAAGTATAAAATCTTTCCAGTTTAGACCAGGTCTAAGCTACCGTGCAGAAGAAATCAGTTTAACAGGTAAGGCCCCAGTTCCACAGACACTTACACACACGCTTAACTTTGATATAAATCAGTAATTAACCTTCCATGTAGATGAAAACATTCACTTCTCTGAAGACAAGCATAGGTGGATAAATTTGCGTAAGAAGCCAGATTACAAAAACATCGAGTGTTGCAAAGCAGCATTTTGAGTTTTTCTAAGCATACAATACTTAAATGTTATGTTATTAAACAGCAG